AGTTTATCGTCATTTTTTTCCTATAGACTTTCTAATTCTTTTTTCTTAATGTGAACATTGAAATTTGAATTTGTTAAAGTATGTATTTAATTAAAATTGCTTAAAAGTTAAGACTAAACATTAAACTTATAAATAATTAAATTTCAACTTTCTGTTTGAACTTCGTCGTGTCATCTCGGATAGAGTTATTTGAATTTGTGAACAAGACTGTAGGTTTCGAAAGCCTTATGAGTTTTCTGTTCGTTGGATTTAGAATCAAGTCAATTAAATGTTGGTAGAATAGATTATGCCATTTTTTGCGTGTTGTGTTTAATGTACCCGAGAACGGATTTTTGCATATGTTTGAGTATCCATTTGACTGTGAAAGTTACGCAATTCGACCCTAACAATACCTAAAGGGAGGGTGAATATGTATATTATGCGGAATTAAAAATATTTTATGAATTAAACAGTAACAAGTCACTTTTTTAATTCTTCTCTAGATGATTAAACATGCAAGTCATTTTAATCCTAAATTTGAATACCATAGTTTATATGATCAATCAATAAACAATAACGAAAGCAGTAAATCAACATCAGGATGATTACGGAGAAATCCAATTGGGAAAAACTTCGAGCACTTTTCCAAGCAATCCACTATAAACAATTCAAACAACTTACAGTCTATCAGACTAGATGAACCGTACTATCTGATCACTCGACTGCACTCCTTATATCTCTCCCTGAATCTCGTGCTCCCCTGCACCAATCCTTAGCTGCTATTGCCAAAACTCTCCGTGAAATTTGCTATCCCGCAACACTCATAACCTTGTGGAATCGTCTATTTCCCGTGGATCAATGAAGAACACCGCATTCTTCACAGACTGAAACTCTAGTCAAACTCTCTAGATCTTCAGAACTTTGACCAGATGTAGAGGAAAAATAGTTTGGTATTTGGATTATAGAAACAATATTTTTCTCACCAAAACAATCAAAGTAGATGAAGGTTAAAAGATAAAATCGAATGAATCTCTCACATATGAAGTTCTCTTAATGTTTAACCTTATCAATTCTTGTACAGAAGTGTTTTGGAATATAAAGGTAGGTTAGAAAAATGAATGGGTCGGGTAAAAAGGTTTTAAATCGCGAAATAATTTTTTTTTTCGGATAAACACTTCGCTCTAACGAAGGCTCAGTGAAGGTCGAGCGATAGTATGTCGCTCCAGCGAGGAAGAGACGACAGTCTAGCGACAATTCTTTTGCTTTTGTAGCTCGAGCCAAACCTTGGCGACAATCTAGCGAAAATCCGCACCATTTTCCTCTTTTTGCCATTCTCGAACCATAGACCTAATAACCCTATTTTCAACTATTTTTACATTACTCCTTGACTTTTTAAACACATTACAATTCAGTTCTTTTGTTTACAGAATTGCTAATTACATAACATCTAAAACCTAACAAACTCCCCCTTTGGCATTCTGTGACAAAACTACTAAGTAAGTCATGTCAGTAATCAAACATAAAGTGCAAACTCAATACCTATGGAAAATTGACTGACTTGAACAATTATGCAGTTTAATCAGCACCTGTTCGCTGAAACAAATAGCTCAACACCCAGTGTAAAATGTATGGAAGACAGTGCAATAAACAGTTCAAGCAGTTTATA